CTACAAAAAATCTCTCTCCGGACCGTACTTAGAGTGTGTTCACCCAGATAAAATCGAGGAACTTTTTTCTGAAATACATGAAGGCAACTGTGGTGCCCATTCGGGCGGACGTTCTCTGGCTCACCGCGCCATATCGCAAGGGTACTATTGGCCGACCATGCGATCTGACGCCGAGTGTTGTGTCAAGAAATGTGGTCAATGTCAGAATTTCTCCCATTTGAATCACCTACCAGCCAAGGAGTTAAATTCTATCACTAGCCCTTGGTCGTTCGCTCAATAGGGCCTTGATATCGTCGAACTATTACCACGAGCTCCAGGGAACAAGCGATTCCTGATTGTCGCACAGATTATTTTACAAAGTGGGTCGAAGCAAAGGCATTAACACATATTCGAGATGTTGATGTTAAGCGTTTTGTATGGAAAAACATCATAACATGATTCGGCATACCAAGAGCACTTGTCTCAGACAACGGCACCCAATTTGATTATGGTGTCTACCGAGAATTATGCAACACATATGGTATCCGGCCCTACTTTTCCTCGCTGGCATACCCACAAAGCAATGGTCAGGCAAAGGCCTTCAATAAAGTCATCCTGGATGGTATCAAGAAAAGGTTGGAAAAAATTAAAGGTAGATGGGCCAAAAAGTTGCCCAGTGTGTTGTGAGCTCATCGCACTACTCCAAGGCGATCCACTGGGGAAACGCCATTTGCTTTGTGCTTTGGAACCCAGGCAATTATCCCCCTGGAGATCGGCCTACCCATGCTGAAATCCAAGGTTTTTGACATGGGCCGTAATGACATGATGTTGGCCTTAGACTTGACTCTGATTGAAGAACGCCGAGATCGTGCCCTTGCATGTATGGCGCAGTATCAGTAACAACTCACTAAATCATATAATCAGCGCGTACAGTTGTGTCGTTATACACCTGGAGAGTTAGTCCTCAAGAAAGTGCTTCCTGCTAGTAAGAATCCAGCAGACGGAAAATTAGGCCCTAACTGGGACGGCCCTTATCAGGTTGATTCAATCGCCAGAACAGAGGTGTATTGGCTCAAAGACATGGCTAGGAGAAGTTTGCCACGCCCCTGGAATTCCACACATTTGCGCAAATTTTATCACTAAGGCAACTTGTACGGCGTGCTAGTTTATTTTGAAATTTTGCTAATATGTTATGTATACATCTTTCAATTCTCCAATGCAATGCCCTTTCTTATCCCAGTCTCGCTAATAATGGTTTGATAATGAATAAAAGACTTTGAAGTCGGAGCCCCATTCATGGCTGTCATGTTTGGGCCGAATAAGCTTCCGAATTCGGAGCGCTCTTCGTGGATATCACGATTAGCCAACACAAAAAACCTTTGAATTCGGAGCGCCATTTATGGATATCATTATTGGCCAACACAAAAAGACTCTGAATTCGGAGCACCCTTCGTGGATGTCACGTTTGGGCCAAATAAGCCTCCGAATTCAGAGCTCCTTTCGTGGATATCATGTTTGGGCCGAATAAGCCTCCGAATTTAGAGCACCCTTCGTGGATATCACGATTGACCAACACAAAAAGACTCACGTTTGGGGCAAATAAGCCTCCGAATTCGGAGCGCCCTTCGTAGATGTCACGTTTGGACCAAATAAGCCTCCGAATTCAGAGCGCCTTTCGCGGGATATCACAATTGGCTAACACAAAAAGACTCTGAATTCGGAGCGCCCTTCGTGGATGTCACGTTGAGGCTGAATAAGCCTCCGAAATCGAAGCGCCCTTCGTGGATATCATGAAAGGCTTATTCAACTTAAACGTGACATCCACGAAAGGCGCTTCGAATTCTTAGCGCCCTTCGTGGATATCACGATTGGCCAACACAAAAAGACTCACGTTTGGGCTGAATAAGTCTCTAAATTCGAAGTACCCTTCGTGGATGTCACGTTTGGGACGAATAAGCCTTTGAATTAGGAGCGCCCTTCGTGGATATCACGATTGGCTAACATAAAAAGATTCCGAATTCGAAGCACCCTTTGTGGATGTCACGATTGGCTAACACAAAAAGATTTCGAATTCCGAGCCCCATTCATGAATGTCACGTTTGGGCCAAATAAGTTTCCGAATTCGGGGCGCCCTTCATTTATAACCACGAATGGCCGAGTTATCCTCTGAATTCAGAAGGACCAAATTTGGCAATATGATGGCAAGGATCAGTATACGATTGTCACAAGTATATACAAACATTAATCGAAACAACATAGCAAATATTTATTTCATTAAATAAGCACAAATGCATGGCTTTTGACGAATTCAAAAGTACAATAATGTGTATTGATATCTAAATCTATTCGGCACCCTCTTTATCGTCGGTTTTCTAAGCATCATAAGCTTCGAAGGGAAATTTTACACCGAATAGATACCCGTGGCCTACAGAGCCTTAATTCATCCATGCTTAAATCCACGATTTTCGCATCGACAGACATCCTCAGCTAGCTTTTCCTTCGTCTTTTCAATACCAATTTTTCAGCCGTCATGAAAACCTTGTTCGTAGGTCTTCATTCTTATTACTTCTCTTGCGAACATGCTCGCCATATCTCGGTTGGCAATCGCATGATCCAGAAGATGCTGATTTACTCTTTCCGTCACGATCGGGTTCATTTGACTAGCCGACTGCGTTTTGGAAGCCTTAGTTTTTTTCAGCTCGTTCTCGGCTTTCTCTGTGCAATGTTCCAAGCTCCGAATGTGGCCATCTTTTTGCTCTATCTTTCTTCACATAACACGAAAACGCATGCCGATTTCATAAGAGATGTATAGTCTCTTTACCGCTCCATAGACGCCCTCTCGAAAAACTTCGCAATCAGGCCGACCGACCATTGATTGCTGGACTTCGAGCCAAAAAATCTATCGAGTAAACTCTACTGCCACATTTGGATCGCAGATAATCGAATCCGCTTCAGTCATCGGTTTATTCCCAACGAAAATTGAAAAACTCAACGGGCGTAGTAGCCTGCTAGTTTCATTTCGCGAACGGGGGGAGCTCCCTCCCTGCTGCCTCCCCTTCCTGGGTGACTTGTCTACTCCGCCTCCTCTTAGGAACCTACTTCGACGACGGGGGGAGTGACACCTCTCACGCTTCTCCAACGTCTTGTTTCCCGTTTGCGCAAGTTTGCCAGCTCGATTAATCTCTAAGTCCAGTTTAGCTAGTGTCCTACCCTCCCCTCTGTTGTTGAAGAATATTCTTCTTGACATCCAAATTTCATAAGTTCAACACAACGCTCTTTTCCCTCTCGCAGTCTGTTGAATTTGAGCACTGTATATCTATCAACAACACAGAACCCACGCGTGTGTAGCCTCCACCCCGCTTATTAATTATGGGTGGAGCATTCCCAAAGCGATCGTTTCAATGCATTTCGCCGAATAATTACCGTGCCCCACCCAATCCATGAACTACACATATTCGGCGGTTCGGTTCATTAATCAGCTGGGGCAATGGCAGATTCATTAATCTATTCGGCCTTCTTGCAATACATTGCGCCAACAAGTTACTGTGCAGATTCATTAATCTATTCGGCCTTCTTGCAATACATTGCGCCTTTTTTGTGACATTTTTTGCATATGTCGCTAAAAAAAAATAGTCACAAAAAATTGACAACTAGTGACTTTTTTTGTCATGATTTTTATAAGTTGTCACTAAAACTTACAATTAGTGACGTTTTTCTATGACGAATTTTTCAAACTGTCACTGAAAGTTAAAAATTAATAACATTTTTTTTTTGTGACGATTTTTTAAAACTGTGGCTAAAACATATAATTAGTGACATTTTGTGATAAAATTTTTAAATTGTCGCTGAAAATTAACAATTAGTGATTTTTTTAAATAGTGTTTGATGAAAAATGTTATTAATTCTTACAGGACTTATTGGATAATAAATCCACCTAATAGAACCTACATGTAAGTCCCTATTTTTTTTTTTTATAAGAAGAGAGACAATTTGTTTATATTTATATAAAACTCTTAAAAGTAAATATATCGTTTTTGAGTGTTCAACTCTAAAAATAAAGAGGTTAATTTATATAAAACTCTTCATGACTTTTAAAAAATACAATAGATTTGAGAAGGTAAAATTGAGGTTTAAAAAATTAAAAACTATGACCAACTTTTCACACTTTTATGATAATAGTAGATAGATGGATAGATTTGAAGTATTTTAATAATATAAAAAGAAAATTACAATGACTAAAGTTTGAGTTAATACAAAAAAATCTCATTAATTTGGCACGATTGTATTGTATCATCATCTCTTATAATTTAATTCGCTGTCGCACCTATCACAATACTGTTGGTTAATCATATAGTTTGATTCGAATGGATCGTCATTAAGTGGTATAAACAAACAAAAAAAGTCATAATTTTAATACAGTTTTTCACATCTCAAAATATTTTTTACAATTTTAATACATTTGTTACACAATCCCTGATGATATCATTAACATGATCCAACTTTTAATAAGAATGAAACATGATGGTGTCAGCCAATTTTGTACTGAAGTATCTATTTTTCCTTAACTAATATTTGAAATATACAATAAATTGACATTTTTTCTTAGTAACAGCATCAAAACAGAGAGGTCAGTAATTGCACTAAACTTGTAAATTTTGTTATATTTAACAATTTACCCTAATATAAAAAGAGGGTTATTTCTATCTTATCAGTAGGAATTTGGTAAAGTAGATTTCCTCTAAAACTGGTTTGTACAAGGTTTATAAAAACTTCATTAATTTCCATTAGTTTGTTTTTGCTGTCATTTTATTCTGTCATATTTTTAGATTCAAGAAAATCCCAAAACAAGGAACTAAACAACACAACACAACAATCTGTTTTGTCTGTGAATTGTTCTGTCATTGATGACATTAGAAAAAATTTCACAAACAATACCTAAAAATTTTGTCTGGATGTAAACAAGACCTGAAGACAACCCTTTCTTGGGACAGACTATCCCATCTGAAGCCTTTGAACAAATCCAAATTAAAGGCCACAAATCCAGCAAGCCCTGGATTGCACTGCGATCAAACTTTATAATAATCCCAAAAAAATGTACATTTATCGCCTACAACAAGAAACAACAGGCGCTCCCTCGCTTGGGTTTTTTTCCCCTCAGGGAGCAAAAAAGCATACTTCCAACATCCCATTCTCTAAGAGGGGCAGCAAGCCCCTTCTAGCATCTCTAACATAATACAATTAAATAATTTTGATGGAAAAAAAAGAAGAAAAAACTTGCTTAATCGTCATTAACCTTCTCAGGATTGAGTCGTCTTAATCTCTGATCAAGCTCTGCCATGACAGCTGGTTCCTGTTTTTTCCTTTGCTTTGATATAGTGGTGGTTGTCATAGACCCAATCTTATCAAAAGCAACCTGCAAGAAATGTTAATTAGGACGCGTGGCTTCAATTTGTGAATGTAAGCAACAATAATTCAAAAATTGGAATTTCAAAACACTATCATCCTTGAGCAATGTGATTGGAACTGAAACAAAAGTCATACATTAATTACATGAGAGTCAAATGAGAGTTACGTTACCGTCAATAATTCATCAGGATCAAAGAGGTGATGGGTTGTTTTCTGTAATATATTAATTACATCCCCAACCTGAAATGCAATAAGTAACTCTTCTTCCTTCATCTGCAATCACACCAACCACAATTTTTACAACTATGAATATGTATGATCCAACTTTCAAGAAACATACGATGCTTGATTGAACAAAGACTACAATCACCTTGAAAATAGCCAAAGCTACATGAAACAGAACCTTTGCTCCCTCATAAAATAGTAAATCCCACACCCTCAAAGTAGTCTGAAAATGAGTTTGTGGGTACAAAATATAGGTCAGTAAAAACCTTCACAATAAGATATTGTGATTTAGAGAGAGAGAGGCATTCAAAATTGTTTCAACCTCTGAAGGCAAGCTCTTGGAAAAGAGGCATAAGAACCATTCAGTGGTAACAAGAGATACATCAAAATCCAAAGCTTCCAAATGAGCGGCTATCCTGCATTTTTCTTTTTCCAATTAAAAAAAAGAAAAAAAAAAGAAAAAGGGACACGGAAAAGAAAATAACACATGAGCTGTCTTATCAAGGAAAGAATGAGAGAGTACCTTGGACACTTTTTCACTATAAGATCTTTAAACACCCTTTGCTCAACGTGGCACCCTGATAAGTTATTTGTATAGCAATTGCTAACTAGGACATTTTCCAGGAGGACAGCTAGCATCCAAAACGCATCTTCTTCTGTTTTCATCACAAGCAGCAACAATGCTGCAACATAATTTAAACCCTGCACCAAGAGCAATTTAGGTTAAGATTATAAAATTAGTATTTTTAAGATTGAAGAATTAACATCATCTACTAAAGTAGGGGGCATTTTATACACTTTCCCATCAGGTAGAAACCTTGAATAAATCACTTTCTCCAGGTTTTGCTTTTTTGGCCTCAAACAATTAGTTATTCAAGAAGGTAGACATATAAAATGTACTTACCCAAGAAACTAAAGTGAGTGGCTGGAGAAAGGATGCACTTGACTACTGGAGGTGTTATGCACTTGACTACAGGAGGTGTTATGCAATTGATTGCTCGTAGTTCCTATGGGGTGGAGATGATGGGGTTTGTCTTAATTCATAATGAATTATTCCTTGTTTTCCAGAATAATCTTTACTCGACAAAGTGGACACATTTTCTAAGATGATAAAAGAGCATTCATGCCTTGTAATGTAGTCACAAACTAAGTTTAGGTGAGATGCATAGGGAAATGATGACATTAGTAGATTTTCAAAATAGACTGAAAACAAGATGGATAGTGAAAATGATGTGGATTTGTATGTATAGAAAACCAGGCAATGAAAATAAAAAAACAGAGTTGAGTCAGTGCAAAGGGAGAAGAACAGAAAACAATTATTTAAGGCTGCAGCACTTTATTTTTATTTTTATTTTTTATAATTATTTTCCACACAAAGTGTACATTATTATTTGTTATTGAGTTGAGACAAGAGAGAATGAATCATGACCTGACAATAACCAACTTCAGAATCACGGAAAGAATAGCCCACAAGAACACGTCTCAGAGTGGCATGACCATCTGGAGTGTCCAACCATGGGTGACCAGGGAATGTTCGTGGTAGATCCTGTACATAAATATGCATAAAATATAAGAGGTAAAAGATAACATTGGCATTGCTAACATTTAATATCTCTTTGAAAGAAAGCCTTAAATTTGATATAAAGAGACACCAATTGAACCTCATATCTAAAAGAGGCAACATGGAATAAGAATGGATGAAACTTTGCAATCCATTTTCTCACTTCTTCAACTGCAAATGCTCAAATATGAAATAGATTCCTAATAAGTGATAAACAATTACTATAAACAGTTTTCTCCAGCATTTTTGTTAAAGTGATCATGTCAAAAATAAATAATTAATAGGTAAAATAATTTCATAATGGTTCTTCTTTTTCCAAGTTCAATACCGGATGAAAAGTAGAAGAATGACCATACCAGTGGAGGCACTTTCAGATGTCAAGCTTTTTATCAACAATGATAGGTGGCCCGAAAAAATATGGCTCGAAATACCAAAAACGACGTCGTTTTGAGTGTAAAACGACGTTGTTTTAACACATTCGAGCCGTTGGAGTCACAGAATTCAGGCCACCAAACATTTTTGGCTTTTTATTTCATCAAAATGGCTATGTTATGCATATGTTATCCGTAAGATACAAAAAAGGCCGACCTTAAGGTTCCATATGTCACAGTATGGTTTGGGATGGGATAAAGGTGGTGTTTTAAAACCAGGGACGATTAGTAAAAATAAGGTAATCCAATCCAAACCTATACCATGTTCCACACTGCAATTCAGTGACTAGCAGCATCCCCATGGCGGGGTTAAATAGCACCCTCTGCATGGTATTATTTTCCCCAACCAGCCAACCTGTCCTGGCCTCATTTGAGGCTCAAACATGGACACTCAGAATATATTCTAAATAAAGCCAATTACAAACATATACATACACAAACAGATACTGTTTATGCTCTATTCTTACTGCTTGATCAAAACCCATATGCTTCAACTTGAGGACATAAATGCATTACTAAGACATAGACAAATGAAAAATTACAAAAAGAAATTTCTCAGACAAAAAACAGCTATAAGTCTCCACAGTCCTTACATATCACATCAAATGTTGCCAAAAAAAAGTAGAAGTGTACCTAAAATAGGCTATGATCTCATATTCATCTCCATAATTATCAAATCCATCTATATCTATTAACTCTTTAACTTAGAAAATATTGACATTTGTATTCCTTTGAATAATATTAAACTAAATCAAGAGATTCCCCAATTGGCCTATAATAATGTTCAACATTTTAAAATCAGCCATTTGACTCAATGCAGAAAGAGGTTTCCAAAACCATTTCGAGTATTTCTATTCCATTCTGGATATTGACAATGACAGAAAATTCTTCCCTCAGTAAACATTGTCCTCAAGCAAGCATCATGTATGATAAAAAATTATGTTGTTAAGTAATGTAATGCAAACTAAATAAGCTCAATTGGACCTAGAGATTTCATGTTCAGGATCAAACAAACAGCATTATTAAGATAAGAATCCGTTATCCAACTGCAAAACAATCCATCTTTTGTAATGAAGTGGAGTCCCACAAACATCAAACATTACAAATTTACAATGATCATTATATCATAAACATTGTATCCGAAACAACTGATCATTATATCATAAACATTACAAATTTACAATGATCATTATATCATAAACAATAATCAATGTAATGCTGAAAAAAAAAAGTCACCTGATCAATCTGCCTTGTAGCGGGCGTGATCTTACCCTCGACAGCCTTAATTAAATCATTGTAATAGCTCTCAGGCACCGTAGATTTCTTCTTAGCCGCCCCGGAGAGCGAAAACCAGACCTTAGGCCGTAAAACCGCCGGAATTCCCTTCCTTATGAGATTCTTGAGCGTAATTGCATTTGCTAAAGCTGAAAATCTAAGGGAAGCTTTGAGGGTAGAAGAAACATGAGTCTGCAAATACCAATTGGCTCCCTTGCTAGCCTCCAATGCCCACCAAACCCTACCCTGTTGCCTCACCTTCTCTCTAACCTCATTCAATACATTAACATCATCAACATTGCCTTCTACCATGAACCCATAAATATCTTGAAATTTTACAGTCAGGTTTGCCCTTCTGGCATGAATGCTTGGCCTCAGAATGGGGATTTGAGCCTGATATTCCAAGGCCAAGTCTATTCTGCTCTGTGTTCCATACATCTTATGATATTACAATAATAGATCAAGAATATAATGGATCAAATAAGGAATCCCCAGTGTGTTGAAACCATGAAATGGTCAATTTTGAAGGCTAGGAACCTGAAATTCGATGATCAAAAGCTGAAATTTCGGTTCTTTTGGAAATGGGTATCCAATGATTCGATATGGGTAAAAAAATAGGACAATTCATAAAAGCAAAATGTCACACACAAAAAAAACCCACATTTGTGAATGGCTCAGCGAATTCTTCAAATCTGATAAACCAAATCAAAATTCTGAAGCTTTTTCGCAAATGGGTTGCTGAAAAAGTTGAAAAATTACAGACAACAACACATTAGAGAGAAAAAGAAAGCACAAAAGGAAAACACAAAATAACAAAAGTGAAAGAAGAAAACACACCCACAAACACAAACACAAACGCAAAGAAAGACAAAAACAGAGCACAGAACACGGATCTTTATGCGGCTAGTTGAGCAGAGAAAGACGAGGAAGGAGAGAGAAGACGGGTTGAGAAAAGGGGGGCTTGGCCTCAGAAACAACAAAAGTTATTCTGAGGAATAGAATGGATTGTGTTGAAGAAAAAAAAAAGATTAAGGACTGGAATGAAAATCCCTTGATTTTTGGGTTATCAATGCTTGAATTGGATGAATGAAGAAGTGGGAGGGGTCCAAAATCAGAGAGAGATTAATAAGTTAATTGGAGGGTGGGTTGGGTTGTTTTTGAATTTTCATTTTTTATTTCCAAATATATTTAGGAGGTTACAGACATGACTGACTGAGTACAGAGATTTTAAGATGAACGTTGATAATTTAGAACGAGAGAGAGAGAGAGAGAGAGAGAAGGACTGAGAAGATCGGAGAGGAAGAAGAAGAAGAAGAAGAAGATCGATGACGAAGAGCAGTGTGTGATATATAACTTTGAAAACAAAGTTGTTTTTTGACTTTCATTGTAGTAGCTAATAAATAATTGATTTTTTTATAAAAATTTTATGTTTTCGCAATGATCAGTACTTGTTACTGTTTGCAGTTTGGGGTTTGTATGAACGGTTTGAATTGTTAGTGAGAAGTATAAACAGTTGATTAATTTTTCACAAATTTAAATGCAAGTGATACACCCTATTTTGCCTTTTCTAATCATAATCTTTTTTTTTTTTTTTTTTTACCAAAATTTTAAAAAAAAAAAAAATCATTAAGGAAAAAAAAAAAAAAAAAAAAAAATAAGTGTATGATTGAAAAAAAAAGTCATATTAATGATAAAATTTATAAATTTTAATTATTAAAATTATAGGGTTCGTTTGGTTTGTATTTCTGAAAAAATTTTGGAAAATTTTCTCTACAAATAAGTTTTTAAAAGTAATCAAACCAAATAAATTTTTCCAAAAAAATTTCTCAAAACTTGTAAACCAAACAAGTTTTCCAAACAAATCTCTCTCTCAGACACATCAAATCAATCACTTTTTCCAAAACTCTCTCTCAAAATAATTTTCCAAAACATCTTTTGAAAAAAATCAAACCAAACAACTTTTCGTACTTTTTATCTCTAAAACACATCTCTCAAACACAAACCAAATATACCCATAATTTTTTTCATGTGTATATAATTTTTTTTTTTTTTTTTTGAAAAATACACCTACTTTGTAATTTCTCCTGAAAAACTATGGCATGATGTGTAATTTTTTTAATGCTAGGACCAATAATTCAAACACAAAATATAATATTTGGTTTACCTTTAATTCTTATATGATGGGGTTCATACTTAGAATTACACATTATTTTTTTAGTATTTTTTTTTATCTAAATTATTTGTCCTTAGCATTACTGATCTATTTTTCAAAAAATGACCTTGATTTCTCTTTGGGTAATTATAATATTAGTCTCTATAGTTTGAAGGAAAATTTAACTTTATTTTTTGTAGTTTCAAATTCATAAATTTAAAGTACAGCTATTTTATTTGATTACAAGGTGATCACTCCGTCAACTGATGTTAACATTTTGGATCAAAAATCACATGTGCAAAATTAGAGGAAAGCAATGTGAAAAAAAGAAAAAGAAAAAAGAATTATATGCACCACCAACCTAATTTAGCCTCCGTTTGGGAAGTGGGTTACTTTTTAGTTTTTTGGTTTTTTTGACTATTTTAGCCTGAGCTAAAAAACTTGGTTTGGGAAGGGCTTTTTGGCTTTTGACTTTTTTGACTTTTTTTGTGAGAGAAGAGTGTAATGATTATGGGTTGGATGTGATGTTTTGTTTGTTATGACTAAAATAGCCTATTTTATTTTTTGTGGTTAAAATAACTAAAAAAACCCAACCAACTTCTCCCCAAACGGTGCCTATTCATTTTTTTCTTGGGTGCTAATTGCTAAAATTCTGTACGAGTTGCATGTTGTCTTTTTCCATTCAGAATGCTAACTACAAGTAATAGAGCGATCACATTAAACATAATTACAAATATAAGGTTTAAATTAAGAAAATTAAGAACCATTTTGACTTTTTTGGTTTTTTTTAATTTTTTGATTTTTTTAAACTTACATTACCACTTTATTTTTTACATATTTTTTTAAAAAAATAACCAAAAAAAAAATTTAACCTATTTTCTAAAACTACCATAATTAAAAGTAAAACTTGACTTCTTTTTTTTTCAAAAGCCAACAAACAAAGGTGGCTTTTTTGTGGCCAGCACTAATGGAGGACAATCTTCAGCTAGAATAATTGCAACAGCTTTATTGTGGACTGCACTAATGGAGGGCAATCTTCAGCTAGAATAATTGCAACAGCTTTATTGTGGACTGCACTAATGGAGGGCAATCTTCAGCTAGAATAATTGCAACAGCTTTATTGTGGACTGCACTAATGGAGGGCAATCTTCAGCTAGAATAATTGCAACAGCTTTATTGTGGACTGCACTAATGGAGGGCAATCTTCAGCTAGAATAATTGCAACAGCTTTATTGTGGACTGCACTAATGGAGGGCAATCTTCAGCTAGAATAATTGCAACAGCTTTATTGTGGACTGCACTAATGGAGGGCAATCTTCAGCTAGAATAATTGCAACAGCTTTATTGTGGACTGCACTAATGGAGGGCAATCTTCAGCTAGAATAATTGCAACAGCTTTATTGTGGACTGCACTAATGGAGGGCAATCTTCAGCTAGAATAATTGCAACAGCTTTATTGTGGACTGCACTAATGGAGGGCAATCTTCAGCTAGAATAATTGCAACAGCTTTATTGTGGACTGCACTAATGGAGGGCAATCTTCAGCTAGAATAATTGCAACAGCTTTATTGTGGACTGCACTAATGGAGGGCAATCTTCAGCTAGAATAATTGCAACAGCTTTATTGTGGACTGCACTAATGGAGGGCAATCTTCAGCTAGAATAATTGCAACAGCTTTATTGTGGACTGCACTAATGGTCGTCCATCTGTGCCCTTCTGTCCGAGATCAAACTCGCTGATCTCAAAGTTCCCTGGACTTTACTGTCCACTTGTTTCAAGTATCAAGTTTCATGCTTTCCAAGCTGCTTGAGATCACACCTCTTAACCGAGGTTTCGGTTCTATTAATTCGTAAACTCCAAGAGCTTTGCAACTGCTCCATTCACACTCTCTGGTGGGCTCCTGATTTCCAGTCATCTATTTGACTCTGACGATTTTCATATCGGCGTTCATTTCACTTGGTAATTCAGTTATTCTTTACTTGCTTTTAAGCTCAATCTTTCATAACTCTTCTGTTTTACTTCGAATCTGTTTATTTTCCATCTGTTGCCTTCTATTTTCGTCTGTCTTCAAGTTTTGAATTGTTTTTTGAATGCCTAGCACTGTTCTTGCCATATCTGCTTTCTGTTGCTAGTATCGTGTCTGGGTCATTACTTTCTTTTTCTTCACATACTTATTTAGTGCCTGTGCACTTAGCTTTATTCTTGAACTTTGTTGTCTTCTTGATTCTGAATTTTCTCTTCTTGTTTTTCTTGTTGTATTTCCAGATTCTTACCTTCGTTTTCTGTTTCTGTATAGTCTTAGAACCACGTCCCTTTTTTGCAATTGATGCCGAGATAGTAGTAAAGAAGCTCCCCCAACTGATTGCCGAGGCTGAACCACTGTCAACTGTTGAAGCAGATCATTCCAACGTTCTTGCTTTAGTCCCTAGTTCTTAGGGTCTTCATTTTTGTACTTTTGTGTTTTTCTGCATATGTAACCTTTTTGCTTCTGAAAAATGTCTGTCATTGGCCGATGTGCTACTGCTTTGATCTTGAACAAGGAATCATTTTACTAGGTCAAAGTGCCTTTTTTTAATGCACGTTTGTGTTTTTCTAAATGTTGAATGTTTTCTTCTGCTGACTGCCTGTATGCTTTCCCATACTTAGAATTTTTTCAACTTTTTTTGAATATATTCTGCAAATCACTTCGGGGTAGTACACCTCGGATAAGCATCACTTCGAAATTATCATCAGGTGGACATCTCGGATCAACATAACCTCGGTATTTTATTTCTACAAGTGTGCTCTTTAATAGAGGTATTCAAGTGTTGCTTCCTCATTTGTACTTGCCTTCTTTTATACATGCTTCTCCTTTCTCAACCTTCTGAGTTTTTAACAAGCTAGTTGGTCATCTTGGATGATTACATTTCGAAAACGTCTTTCGGTGTAATCTCGGCTATAACAAACTTGTAAATTGCTAAAAAATTCAACAAGTGTTAACATTCCTTGCTTATTCCTTCTTCCTGTCTACTAATGTAAACATAAGTTGCACAGACCCTTTCAAGCCGATGTGTTCTTCTTTTTATCTTGTATGCTTAATAATTTCCATGTCTTCAAAATATACTCTAACTGTGCAATCTTCTCGGGGTGTAATACCTCGGTTGTACCCACTAATCGATTTTTCGCAGCCTTGGCTTAACACTTGAAAATAATATTTTCACAAGTGTTTATTTACAACTTGATACTCCACTTTTAGCAAGACTTCTGTCTTCAAATTTCTTCCAAGTCTCGGCAATGTGGTAATTCCGGCAAGTATGTAGATACTTCTTTCAACATAACCTTGGCCGAACTTGTAAATTTTTATCAAAAATTTCAACAGGTATTTAAACCAATCTTTTTTCCCAGCTTAACTTCAACTTGTAAATTCTCTCAGAATTTCAACAAGTGTTAATCTTCGTTTCGGTTTAACTTCAATTTGTCAAATTTTCTTAAGTTTAAACAAGTGTTAAACATTATCTCGGCTTAATTTCAACTTGTAAACTTTTCTCAAGTTTAAACAAGTGTTAAACCTTAATCTTTAACTTGTAAACCTTTCTCAAGTTTAAACAAGCGTTAAACATCATCTTGGTTTAACTCTGCTTGTAAACTTTTCTCAAGTTTCAACAAGCGTTAAAGATCATCTCGGTTTAACTCTGCTTGTAAACCTTTCTCAAGTTTAAACAAGCGTTGAAGATCATCTCGGTTTAACTCTGCTTGTAAACTTTTCTCAAGTTTCAACAAACGTTAAACATCATCTCGGTTTAACTCTGCTTGTAAATTTTTCTCAAGTTTCAACAAACGTTAAACATCATCTCGGTTTAACTCTGCTTGTAAACTTTCTCAAGTTTCAACAAGCGTTAAACATCATCTCGGTTTAACTCTGCTTGTAAACTTTCTCAAGTTTCAACAAGCGTTAAACATCATCTCGGTTTAACTCTGCTTGTAAACTTTCTCAAGTTTCAACAAGCGTTAAACATCATCTCGGTTTAACTCTGCTTGTAAACTTTTCTTGTCACGCCCCACTTTTTATTACTCGAAGTCATTACCAAGTTCATTAACTTAATTCAATTTCAGAGATAACATGCGGAAATAAACTCAAATGTTCAACTAAAAGGAGTG